AAAAAAAAAAAAAAAAAAAAAGAAGGGGTCTCACTGTGTTGCCCAGGCTGGTCTCGAACTCCTGAGCTCAATGGAGCCAACCACATAGACCTCTCAAAGTGCTGGGATTAGAGGCAAGAGCCACAGTGCCCGATCTCATTTTCCTTGGTTTTTTTTTTTTCCTTGGAACAGTTTTGCTCTTGTTGCCCAGGCTGGAGTATAATGGCGCAATCTCAGCTCACTGCAATCTCCACCTCCCGGGTTCAAGTGATTCTCCTACCTCAGCCTCCCAAGTAGCTGGGACTACAGGTACCCACCACCACGCCCAGCTAATTTTTTGTATTTTTAGTAGAGACAGCATTTCACCATGTTGGCCAGACTGGTCTTGAACTCCTGACCTCAGGTGGTCCACCCGCCTCGGCCTCCCAAAGTGCTGGGATTACAGGCATGAGCCACTGCACCCAGCCTGCTAAATTCTGATGGGCATACTGGGCATCTGATGAGGCAGCTAAGTTGGGTGTTGGATTATTTTCCCTCTAGCAGGTGGTGAGGCAGCAAGCTGCACTATCAACAATAGCCTCTCCAACATCCCATGGCTTCAAAACATGAATTCTGATGGACTGGGCTCCTGCAGCATCAAGCAAGAGATGGAGGAAAAGGAGAATTGTCACCTGGAGCAGAGACAGGTTAAGGTGAACTGTTCTGTCCCTCACTAAAGAAATCAGAACCAGTGCAGGGAATTCCTAGGAAGAAAAATGGATCAAGTGGCCTGATGAACCAGAATTTCCAAGTTCTGGTATTAGCTCTCCACTTCATTCTATTCTGTATAACTCTTGAGCTATTCTTCTGCCTGGGATCTTTTCTCCTCAGTCTGAAATTTCCTTGAGGGCAGATTCCCTTGGTCACTGTATTCCAACCAGCACTAAGATTAGTATTCTGCCCTTAGTAGGTATTCATTCAGGAAATGATTAAGGGGTCGTCACTTTGGGAATCCACTTGGACTTTAAAGGTGCCTCCCAACAGTATGAATTGAATATAATATAATAAGGTAATTTTATTAGAAGATACAATATTAATAGCAGATAAAGTTGTATATATAGTTGTGTGTGTGTATATATATATATATATTATATATATATATATATATGTATATTTTTTATGTATATATATATTTTTTGAGACAGGGTCTTGCTCTGTTGCCCAGGCTGGAGTACAATGGTGTGATGGCGGCTCTCTGCAATCTCAACCTCCCGGCCTCAATTGATCTTCCCACCTCAGTTTTCTGAGTAGCTGAGACTCAGGTTCATACCACATGCCCACCTAATTTCTGTATTTTTTGTAGAGACGGGGTTTCTCCATGTTGCCCAGGCTGATTTCAAACTCCTGGGCTATAGTGATCCGCCTGCCTCAGCTTCCCAAAGTGCTAGGATTACAGGTATGGCCTAGAAATGAATTTTAAATACTTCCCCAGCAGTCAAAATTGATCTAACCTAATTGTGTAGTCTGGGTTGGTTGGTTTGTTTTTTCCACAGTTACCAATATAACACATCTAGATTCTATTGTATATACCTGTTAATCATACATTCAATAGCCTTTATTTTCTTTTTTCCTCAACTTTTATTTTAGGGTCGGGGGTACATGTGCAGTTTTGTTACATGGATATATTGTGTGTCACTGGGGTTTGGTGTACAAATGATTTTGTCACCCAGGTAGTGAGCACCTGCTAGGTACCTGCTAGGTAGTTTTTCTACCTTCTCACCCTCCACCTCCTCCCACCCTCGACCCTCAAGTAGGCCCTGGTGTCTGTTGTTCCCTTCTTCGTGTCCATGTGTGCTCAGTGTTTAGCTCCTACTTATAAGTGAGAACATGCAGTGTTTGGTTTTCTGTTCCTGCATTAAATAGCATAGGATAATATTCTCCAGCTCAACAATCTTTAAAAGTTAAAATCTGGACAGGCACTGTGGCTCACGCCTGTAATCCCAGCACTTTGGGAGGCTGAGGCAGGCGGATCACCTGACATTGGAGTTCAAGACCAGCCTGACCAATACAGAGAAACCCCATCTCTACTAAAAGTACAAAACTAGCCAGGCGTGGTGGGGTATGCCTGTAATCCCAGCTACTCTGGAGGCTAAGGCAGGAGAATTGCTTAAACCCAGGAGGCAGAGGTTGCAGTGAGCTGAGATCGTGCCATTGCACATCAGCCTGGGCAACAAGCAAAACTCTATCTCCAAAAAAAAAAAAAAAAAGTGAAAATGTATTAATTGTGCTATGTACATACAATTGTGTACTTTAGAAAGTTAGATCTCAATTTTAAAAAATGTAAATGGGACCAGGCACAGTGGCTCAGAACTGTAATCCCAGTACTGTGGGAGGCCAAGGTAGGCAGATTACTTGAGCTCGGGGGTTCTAGGCCATCCTGGTCAACATAGCAAAACCCTGTCTCTACTAAAAATACTGAAAACAAAAAAATCCCAGCCAGTCACAGTGGCTCATGCCTGTAATCCCAACACTCTGGGAGGCTGAGGCAGGTGGATCACCTGAGGTCAGGAGTTCAAGACCAGCCTGACCAACATGGTTAAGCCCTGTCTTTAAAAAAAAGAAAAAGAGGGCCGGGCGTGGTGGCTCAAGCCTGTAATCCCAGCACTTTGGGAGGCCGAGGCGGGTGGATCACGAGGTCAAGAGATCGAGACTATCCTGGTCAACATGGTGAAACCCCGTCTCTACTGAAAATACAAAAAATTAGCTGGGCATGGTGGTGCATGCCTGTAATCCCAGCTACTCAGGAGAATTGCCTGAACCCAGGAGGTGGAGGTTGCAGTGAG